GGAGAGAAACCATTGCACTTTTTAGAGAGGAGCGAAAGACTTACCTCTTATCTCGTAGAGAGAAAAATTCGGATTTCCGACCGCTCGCGGCAAGTTCGGTTTCCACCGGTACAAGAATCCACTTATCTTTGTCTTCGCAGGGCCTTGAATGAAACGGCGAAGTTCGGGGGACGATCGTTCTCAAACGAAACGACCTCGACGGGCCGTTTCGGACGTGCAGGTGGCGGGCGAAGACCAAGGACCTTCGCACTAAGGTGCGCTATGCGATGGTATCTCCGCCCACTCCCCGGAGCCTCTCCTTGAACACCTCCCATGCCTCTGCCCCCCCTCAGGCCGGCCAACCTGCAGCCAGCGGCCGAGGCGGTGGAGGTGGGCAGGCTCATCCTCAAGGCGGCGGAGTGGTCGCCGCAGTCGCACGAGCTCTTCCCGGAGGCGGCTCGCAAGCGGGCTGTCGAGGTGATGCGGTTGGGCTACCTGATCGCGTGGGACGAGGAGCGCTTCGAGGGCCGCGCGGGGCCGGAGCTGCTGGACTGCTGGCGTAGCTTCGTGGTGCCCAAGGTCGTCGAGCGCGAGGATCGTGAGCGCGAGTTGCGCGAGTTGCGCCGCGTCTCGGAAAAGATGGCGGCGGGCGCGGGCGCGATGGGAGCGTTTGTCCTCGATCCCACCCAGTTCTGACCGCCATAGGATTCCTATACCCCTAATGCACGCGAGTAGATCGGACGTAGAGCGATCCTTGGGAGGTCGCAGGGTCCCCTCTCCTTTGGGGGCGGGGCCAGCTCGGTTGTCATGCCGCGCGTACACTGTCGTAATGCTGTCTTTGTTTGCATTGGTGTTTTGCTGTGTTTGTGTGTGTGTGTGTGTGGCCGCCTCCTGCGCGCTCTAGGCGGGGGTGGGCCTCTACCTGCATGTACTGTCGCGGTGCCTGCCGCCTGCCAGCCTGCCTGCCTGCGCGCAACCGTGATTTTTATTGACATTTTACGTGAGCGCGATCATAGCACCGGGGAGGGGGGAAGGTGCCGGTGCTGTGCTGCCCTCTACGGCTTTACTTTAGTTCTGCCACTTTCCACCTACCCACAAGATAAACCCAAAAAACCGTCGTGAGTTTAGCTGCAAGGAAACGGATCGTAGAAAAGCGTCCACTGCTGGCACGTGGCAGGGGACGCAAGCATGACACGCTGAAGAGAGTTGCATTTCGCCCCAGTAGTCGTCCGTAAAACTTGGAGCACTTGGAGTGCAGCGTGTCGGTAACCTCACATCCAGGGCCGGGGAGCTAAGAAGCGCACCCAGCGGGCCAGATGATCGGTATCGGGTTGCGGGCAAGAGAGCCCTAGCCCTGGGGGGGTGCGCGTTCGCAGGGAAAGGAAAGGGCCGTAAAGTAAACACGGGTCTCCGAGGGTTGGCTCCGTGTACCGGGTTTCCCCTTAACTGTGCAGAACGCCCGCCCCCCTCTACTCGGAGCTAGTGGACACGACACTGGTACACCTTGCACATACACGGGTCCTCACTCAGCACATCCCGTCTCGGGGTTCCACCGCCCGCCCTGCCTAGAGACGAGTACAGCTAAAGAAGTACCCGGGGCTCCCCATGCGGAAGACCTCCCTGTGGGGGCCCGTGAACATCTTTAGCTTGTGAGCCAGGAAAAGGGTGTTGGTTTATTTGCCAGCGACAGCGAGCGTGCGCAGTGTCATCAAGCGCCCGAGCGCCACGAAGTGGCGTCCCCAGCAAAAGAAATATCGGGATTTCTTTCGAATTTACTGGGCGAGCGGGCAAAAAATCCCAATGAAGCCCGATCGCCTAGACTCCCCTGCGTCACTACGTGCCTCCCCGTCTTTGTAGCCTGGCGTTTGTGCCCCGTTTGTGCCGCGTCCCGTGCCCCCGAGTTCATTTTATATCCAACGGGAGGAGCACTTGAGCACTGGATAGGGTCGATTCCGCATGGTACGGGACCCCTCGATCGTCTCGCCCTCCCTCACTGATGTGTTCATGAAACGAGAGAGAGAGAGAGAGAGAGAGAGAGAGAGAGAGAGAGAGAGAGAGAGAGAGAGAGAGAGAGAGAGAGAGAGAGAGAGAGAGAGAGAGAGAGAGAGAGAGAGAGAGAGAGAGATTTTATCGAAACAGAGAGGCGTCCACGGGGAAATGCGGCCGAGCACGGAGGCATCGTTCTGCCAGCAGTCTCGAACTGCATTGTAGCACTTGGAGCTGAGACTTGGGAGGTATCGCCGAAAAGCCCCGGGCTATGTGCTGACCACGGGCGCGGACCGAAAGGCAAACTCGTGCATACCCATTCAGTCCACGCCGTCATGCATGCGGCTCACGACGCTACTCGGCCTCCAAACGCCGAGCTTGGCGCTGCGACTAGCCGTACATCACGGCCTGCCGAGGCAGCACCGGGCCCGATCACACCGCGTCGCTGCAACGTGTACGTGCACCAGCCTTCAAGCGCCGACAAGCTGACCGACAGTGGCTGGCGTGAGGACCAATACGCAGTGCACTGGTGGGTGCAGAGGGCGCTTCAAAGCCATCCATGGCGTGTGCAAAGCTCGGCAGAAGCAGATGTCATCTACTTCAACTCCAGCTTGACGTACAGCAATCGGTTTCCGCGGAATCAGAATCCGCTTGGGTCGGCAGCCACAGAGCTCACGCACCAGCTTGACCTCATGTACCCTAAAGCCAATGACAGCACATTGAGACGATGTGGCGCTGTGTGGTTTGCCACGTCTTTCAACCAGCGCTCTGGCAAGCACACAAAGATCCGCCCCTCGCCATGCCTTCGCTTCGTTCGGGAGGTCATGTGGGGAATTGGGGAGCTTGGTTTACCGTTGGTGGCGCCTTTTGTGGTCGCGTCCCCGAGCTGGCTGACCACCAGCGATACATCCGCCGCGCGTCAAAAGCTCGTGCCCTGGGCGGAACGGAAGCTTCTGTTCTTTGCCGGCCACATGCCGCAGCTACACATCAACAACGTGAGATGGAACCTCTGGCGCGATCTGCAGGGAGACCCACGAGCCACTCTCATCTCTCCAGACGTGATCAACCTTGCACGCTACGGGCGCGTGTGCGACAACTTCCTGCGCGGCCGCGGTTTCATTGGGAACACGACATTTTCATTGAGAGGCATAAGCGCCGGCTTGCTACCGCCTCTCAGGGACGTTTACGACTTCATGATGGCCGATTGCGTGGCACTCTGTAAGGCCCACACCGTGGAGGGTTGCGGCGATTCCAAGCTCTCTCCAGAGCAGGCGTGTGCAAACGACAGGAACATGATACAGAGGATCATCCGGGAAAACTCGACGCAAGCTGTGTTCAGCAAGTGTCGCATTCTCGCCGCGCACGAAGTTCCTGCCGTGGTACGCAAGGCTCGTGGCCAGCTCGACCCGGTGCGGCTGAGCCACGAGCTGTACTTGGAAGAGATGATGAGGCATAAGTTCTGCGTAGTCGCGGCGGGTGACGACATGTCGACCCGCAAGATCGGCGAGACGATGGCGGTCGCATCGCGGGGCGGCTGCTTGCCGCTCATCGTGGGTAACCACAACAACTCAGGGCAACCAATACCGCACTTTGCGTACCTACCGCACACTGAGAGCATCGACTACTGCCGCGTCGGCTTCATCGTGCCTCTCATGATAGGCAGACGTGTGCCAGCCTTCAAGCAAATGCTCGCGGCGCTCGAAGGTGTGACCACCAACGAATGGCGGGAGCGCCACCGCGCTGCCAAGCAGCTGCGCTCATGGTTCGTCTATCGCGAAGGCTCCACTAAAGGCGACGCATCCTCGGCATCCGACCACATCATCTCGCGAATGTGTCAGATGGCTGCGCAGCTCCGTCGCACGCTTCCGACGGCGGTGCTTTCGCGCGGCTATGACAACAAGACCACTGCTCGTCAAGCGACGCCTCAGATGTGCCCGCCGCACTCGGAAGCACTCGCAGAGTGGCAGAGGTCTTCGGCGAAGCATATGCGCCTCTGCGATGCCTGGTTCCGTGGACGCGCGGCGCCGGAATGAATAGTAGTCAAGCCAACTGATAATGTATTGCACACATACAGACGGAACACGCACCGCGGTAACGCCCTAGCTTCACGCCAAGCACCGTCATTACACTGCAGCAATGTGTTGCCAGCATCAGCGTGGGCAAAAGACGTATGTGGTGACAGTTCCCTGAATGGAACGTGACGATTCCCACACGGCAATACGGTACCTCTCCTTGCCGGACCTGACCACGACAGGAATGTACGCATCTGCTTTTTCGGCTACCGGTAAATTCTTTTTGCTCAACTTTCGCTCTTCGATATCTGCCATCACCGGCTCTCTCCCCGCTCGCTGCCCGATGCTGGCGACCTTCGTTCTATGCTCCAGTTTTCACATTGCGCCCGTCGCTCGTGCTCCGTCCAGTCGCGTGCCGGCGACCTGCTGGATGAACGCCAAGGGCGAGCCGAACGCCGATAAGCTCGACCCAAAGAACAACCTGCTCGAGCCCCCTTTTATCTTGCGCGGTCACAATCGAATTTGCCCGAGTGGTCAAGTGCAACTTTGGCATTTGGTAAAAGTTGCCCGAGTGGTCTGATGGGAAAAAACCAAACACATGGCCCCAAGAGCTAAAGGTCAACATCCCCTCCGGCTACGACAATGTGAACCTGATCTGGTCCTCACGGGGTTGACCCGTCTCCTCCAGATCGAAACGGACTTCATGCACGGCCGGGCAATATTTCTTGAGCACTTGAGCACTGGATAGGGTCGATTCCGCATGGTACGGGACCCCTCGATCGTCTCGCCCACCCTCACTGGTGTGTTCATTGGGGGGGGTCATAACAAACACGGACGGTACAGGATCGAGGTGCACGCTGCCGAAGCAGTGTCGTCCCCCCTCTCCCCGACGGCGATGGCGGTGTGACCGATCGAGCTACAAGAGGAGCTTGTTCAGCAGGATCCGGGGTAGTCTGGCGCACTACCTCACTGGGTCTGAGACCGCCGAGACGCCTCCCATCACCGTCTCGGATTCACGTGGGATCGAACCACTCCGGGATGGGCAAGCCCATCAATTTTCGTTTCGCATTTCCCTGCACCTGCAGGCGATGGCGAGAGAGGGATGAGGGTTAATTGTCAACATTCCTGTTGTGCAAGAGGGGGGGGGGCTCTGACGGAGTGTGTGGTGGGAGAGGGCAGGGAATGAGCGCAGGGGAGGGGGGGGGGGGGCTCAACCAGGCAAAATTTCTTCACTACTATTAAGATTTGAACAGTTTTGCACGGATGAGGCCATTCCCCCCCTCGCCGGAGATCATGCACAGCGGCCTCACACCA